CAGCCACGTGCAGAACACACAGAAACTTCTTTAGCATTCAGAGGACTTGGTATGAGTGAGGACTGAATGTGCAGGAGTCACAGCACTTGAGATTTAGATGATTTTGGGTGGCCCAGGCAGCTTCTTTCTTTCCACAGTCTTTTGTTCATCAGAAACACTAAGGGTTTTATCAGTGTCATGCATGTGTAAGTTTTAAATCTTTGATTCAAGTAATTTGTGCTTTTGTCAGTGGTTGGTTTCATGACAAACTCTCCAGCTAGATACTCATGCTGCCTTTCTACTGTGTAGACAGAAAGCATTTCATCCTGTGCTATCAGCAGAAGCTTTTTGCAATGCAAAGCACTGTCACATTGCTCCATCTTTGAAAGTTCTGCTTCTAAAAGTGATCTAGAAACTATGAATGTTTAAGAAAAGAAAAGAGAGGGGTGAAGGGGTTGCAATTCCCTTTATCCTGGTGGGTGTACTGTGACCATTGCATGTCAGGCATGCTGGAGCAGTGCAGTTACCTGTGTTTGGAGCTGACAGGTGAAGTCTGCCATTTTGCTTTTAGATGCTCCCCTCTCACCGTGGCTGTCTTTTATAAAAATAGCCTTCAGCAGCTGTAGGAAAATACACGTGAGAAACATGAAATAATATCCAGTGCTCGTCAAGGTTTGAGAGATACTCTAAAAATAACATTTTGAACAATAAATGTCAGCCTTACAAATGTACAAACATAGTCTTTGTCCCAGCCCACCTATGAAGCTGTGCCAGAGTCCAGGCTGGTGTGTCACTCTGTAAGGGGTGGTTCCAGTCAATGTGCTGGCCCCTTTCTCTCAGCAGCATGACCCTGCTGTTGGTGGTTTCCCCTTTCAGCTCCTCTCCCTGTCCCCAGGCCTGGCCATCGGCGACGTCCCGGAGAAGCAGCCCATCGGGATCGTCCTCACCGTGCTGGGCGTGGTGGTGCTGGACTTCTGCGCCGACGCCACCGAGGGGCCGATTCGGGCCTACCTGCTGGACGTGGTGGACAGTGAAGAGCAAGACATGGCCCTCAACATCCACGCGTTTTCAGCTGGTAATGTGGTTTTGGCAGCTGTCAAGTCTTCCTGATGGCCAAGCTGTGGCTGAATTGATCGTTCCTGAACTCGCTTCTCTGGTTTTTTTCTTCCACAGGTCTTGGAGGAGCAATCGGTTATATGTTAGGAGGGCTGGACTGGACACAGACCTTCTTGGGTGGTATTTTTAAATCTCAAGAGCAAGTCCTTTTCTTCTTTGCAGCCATTATTTTCTCTGTCTCCGTTGCTCTCCACCTTTTTAGCATCGAAGAAGAGCAATACAACCCTCAGCAGGACAGGATTGACGACGAAGGAGACACGCTTTCCAGTGTCAAATTCAGTGGCAGTCTCCCCCCTCTGAATCGACTGAATGTGATTAGTGAGGAGGAGCCGTACGGGGCCTCCATGTTCCACGACGAGGTTCAGTCAGAGCACGATCTCAACATGGAGTTCCTCGAGGTGAACATTGTGAGGAGCAAGAGTGACTCGGTTCTCCACATGCCCGACGCCACGCTGGAGATTGAGTCAGAGCTGCTTTTCCTGCACGACATCGAACCCTCCATTTTTCAGGACGCTTCGTATCCCAACACTCCCCACAACACGAGCCAGGAGATCATGAAGTCCAAACTCAACCACCTGTCTGCTTTCCTCAGGGACAACGAGAAGGAGGAGGAGACCTTGCTCGATAATCGCTTGAACGAAGACAAAGCCCCGAACGCCAACGGGTCCCTCCCGAAGGAGTTCCTCAACGGGCAGGCCCGCATAGGCATGAAGCAGTCCAGCACCTCCAACTCCATGCGGCGGCGCAGGCACATGTTCTACCGCCAGCCCTCCTACACCTTCTCCTACTACGGGAAGATCGGCTCCCACCGGTACCGCTTCCGCCGGGCCAACGCCATCGTCCTCATCAAGTCCTCGCGCAGCATGAACGACATCTACGACATGCAGAAGAGGCAGCGGCAGCGCTGCAGGCACCGCAACCAGAGCGGCGCCACCAACTCCAGCGGGGACACCGAGAGCGAGGAGGGGGAGACCGAGACCACCGTCAGGCTCCTCTGGCTCTCCATGCTCAAGATGCCGAAGGAGCTGCTGCGGCTCTGCGTCTGCCACCTCTTGACGTGGTTCTCCATCATCGCCGAAGCCGTGTTCTACACGGATTTCATGGGACAGGTCATCTTCCAGGGGGACCCGAAGGTAAGGGGGGGTTGCCGCTGGCAGGCCTGCTGAGAGCCGCTCGTGGCTGAGGCCTGCTTGTTACAAGGAGACAGCTTTGGATTTGTGTGTGTTGCAGGCTCCTTCTAACTCAACGGAGCTGCACGCCTATAACGCTGGAGTTCAGATGGGATGCTGGGGACTGGTGATTTATGCTGCTACTGCTGCTGTCTGTTCAGGTAAGAGGCTCTGCCATAGGACAGTGGAATGTACCTCGTGTGTGTTTGCAAGGTGAAAAATAGTTCTGCTTCAGTTAGCATCTGTCACCTTGTTTGGGGTGAAGGACGTTTGGGAAGAGCATTTCACATGGTCGTAACAGGAGGGACTTCTTCAAGGATCAATATTTTAAAATTCCTCCAAATGTAGAGGTGGAAATGGGAACAGATGGGTTAAGTGGCATAGAGCACAAAGTGATACCCGAGGATATTGGATGGCTTTGAGCTGCTCATCAGGAGACTAAACATGTGCTTGTTAGCAGGTTCAAGCAATATATAACAGGGTTTTTGCAAAGCCTGTTTTTAAAATCAAACTGATATATTTCTGGAAGTCTTCCACGCTCTCAAATAACAGATAAACCAACTACAGCCAATTTAGGCTTGGAATAGAGACTTTGAAGTTGAGAGCTTTTGCCCAATTTAAATCCTGACTTTTGCAGCACGTGTGCAGGTACATCTGCACAGACCCGTGTTGTGGGGACCACTCTTTGCTGAGGAGTGTCAAACTGAAGTTTGAAATGTAGCTATAAACATCTGACCGCTTTGTTCAGCAAAGGTGCTTGTGTTAGAAACAGAATCTCCTCTGCTCAGAGTGTATCCGCATTGATAAAGTTAATTAACAGGTAAAATTAATGAACGGACTGAGTGGGCCATGGTGTGTTTGAGTTTCAAAGCATTTTTCCTGTTGTAGCAGGGTTTAGGCAGGTCCCTGAGCTCCTTTGTTCCTGGGGATCTGAAGGAGCAATAGACCCTTTTCCTAGTGAGGGCTGAGCTGTGCTGAGACAAGCCAAATAAGCAGAGAGCATCCGAGTCCTAAACAGTGCATGGAGCTGCCATGGCTACACCAGTACCATCAAACTTCACCCAATAAACCGGCATTCATCTGCTATTCTCCATCTCTGCAGCCTTGTTGCAGAAATATTTGGACAACTACGACCTTAGTATCAAAGTGATCTACATCCTGGGCACGCTGGGGTTTTCTCTGGGCACTGCAGTGATGGCTATGTTCCCCAACGTGTACGTCACCATGATCATGATCAGCACCATGGGCATAGTCTCTATGAGCATCTCCTACTGCCCCTACGCCCTTCTGGGACAGTACCACGAGATTAAAGAGGTACGTGGAAGATTTTGAGTGTTTTAATCAAGGCATGCACGTTTCTCTGAAGGTCACAGTAGCAAAATGGATTTATTAAATCCCATTATTTGAGATACCTCCTTTAGTGGGATGTGCACCAAAGCAAAAATTCATCCTTGATCATAAATAGCAAGAGCTGCTGTTTGAATCCTATGGTTTTAGCATCAGATTGATTCAGTGGGGTCATGATTAGGAAAAACTTCTTCACTGAAAGGGCTGTGAAGCACTGGAACAGGCTGCCTAAGGAAGTGGTGGAGTCACAGTCTCTAGAAGTATTTGAAAGACATTTAGATGAGGTGCTGAGGGACATGGTTTAGTGGTGGACCAGTAGTGTTGGGTTAGTGGCTGGACTCAATGATCTCGAAGGTCTTTTCCAACCAAGATAATTCTGTGATTGGTTTGTGCTGAGGTATAAAATGATTTGGGTGCACATGAAATAATTATTGGAGTATTTATTGCATACGTAGTTGTTACCAGTGGTTTTGATGTGTTACACATACTCAGCTTCTTCACAGTCTGAGATACTGAGGTGAGTCTGGATGTGCAGCTGTAAGTTTGGGGAGATGTAAAGCAAGCTGACTGTGCTGGAAACAAGGGCAGATTTACTTTCCAGCTTTTAGCCCAGTTCCATTTGGATTACAGATTACAGGAGGATCTTTTATTGCATTGACATGGGGAGGGGGATTCCAATTACTGGATTGTGACAGATGAGGAGGCCGTTGCTAAGTAGACAAGGAGGCTGTTGCTCTGGACTTGTGATGTCTGATGCACGAGGAGGGTGTAAAGCTGACCACGTGGCTGAGAAACTGGAGGAAGACACTAGTGCTTAAATGTTTGAATTTAATTCATTGTTTTACCTCCTGACACCTTTCTCATCCTCTCCCAGTACATCCACCACAGCCCTGGGAACTCCAAGCGCGGGTTCGGCATCGACTGCGCCATCCTGTCCTGCCAGGTGTACATCTCCCAGATCCTGGTGGCCTCCGCGCTCGGCGGCGTGGTGGACGCCGTGGGCACCGTCAGGGTCATTCCCATGGTGGCCTCGGTGGGCTCCTTCCTGGGCTTTTTGACAGCCACCTTCTTAGTGATTTACCCCGAAGTGAACGAAGAGCCCAAGGAGGAGCAGAAGGGCCTGGGACCCCCGGGGCCCGCGGGGGGCGGCGCGGGCCCCGAGAAGCCGACGGTGCTGAAGCTGTCCCGCAAAGGAGCCACCACAGAGCCCCAGGGCGAGTCAGCTGTCTGAGACCTTTCTTCACCCACATTCCAGGGAGGCAGGTGCAGGAGCAAGAACTACTCTTTTTGGGTTTTTTTCCAGGAAAACTAACTAGGATCTTCACTACTTGTAGCTAAAATTGCAGAAGAAAAGGCATTTCGTGCAAAGTGTAACTGAAATTCTGTAGTCCTTAATATAGGTTTGAACAGGTAGCTATGATGCTAATTGCTTTCTCTACGACTAGAAATGTCATTTCTGAACACTTTTTTATTAAGAATACATTTAGGTTTCGAGTAAGCTTTATTAATCTGCATGAGACTCACAGTGTATACAATTAGCAGTTAGAAAAGTTTAAGTTTTCGGCTGTTTTTAAACTAACTGAAGATGGAAGCTATCTTGACTTCTAGTCTCTTGCTATGTTTTTTTGTCTGAACATTTCAGATTTCACTAGTGTAAGAGCTGAATCAAATGCTTAGACCTCTTGATCAATTTTTTTCATAAGCATGGTGTTCTTGGTCTGCCAGCTACAGTTCTTTAACGTTCATTATAGACTCCATGTTTTTGTTGGTGCAATTACTACAGAATAGGTTTATTTGCAATTACTTTCAAGAAAAACAAAAGCAATTACTGCAGCTTCCAAGAAGCTGCTGCGAATCCTTTTACTCATACTGTTCAACAACTACTCCCAGGTCTGCTGCATGTCAGGGGAGGGTGGTGCTGGGTGTGGGAGGTGAGCTGCAGATGGAAGGAGCAGCAGCTGGGAGAGGTGACCAGCACTGACAGGTTTTTATCACAAGTGCTGAATTTTGTGAATGTCGTTGGAACACGCTGTGACAATTTTTAGCTGAGAATTTTGTGTGCTAGTGACCTCAGGGGTTTTCTTGGCATTTAAACCTGATCATCTCTGGATGAAGCTGCCGTGGGGAAAGGGCATCTCTGGGGTCAGCTTCGTGGGAGGGGCCTGTGGATCCTCTGGCACAGGGAGAAGCTGTCGATGAATTGCACTTTTAGTGATCCTTTCACCTCCTGGCTGGGGCACAGCAGCCAAGGCAGAGGCACAGTGCCAGCACCAGGTGAACCAAAGGCCTGCCTCTCTCACTTTATGGCATAGCCTGGGTAAATAAAAATCTGTCAGAAACAGTTTTTAGGCCTTAAAATCCAACCCACTAGTGTGCGTTGCTGTTCCAGCCCCTGTGTTGGAGGACCTGTAGGAGCTTTTCTGAGCTGCTGTAACCAGTGTCATCAGCACAACCTCCATGCCCCCTTCCTTGATTCAGGGCAGAGCTGCAGTACAAAGACATTTTTCCTGTGAAGAGCTTGAAAGCGTCGTGCTAATCTGGTTGAAAAGGAGGGTTTGGGTCGCTGGCAGTGTGCCCCAGCCCACGGGCAGCCAAAGCTCAGAGATCCAGCAGCCATGTAACGAGACTTTAGAAACAGGACTTCTGTTTGTCATCTTCTGAGAAGTGCTGGTGATGCTGTTGACTCATTTTCACATGGACCTCCAGGCTGCAGTCCATCCGTGTGCTAAACACACCAGCCACAGCTCCTGGTGAGATGTCTGCTGCCTCAAACTTCTCATGCTCCAGTACTTTAAAACGCATGTGTAAGTCATGCTGCAATAGAGTCATTTAAAAGAAGAATATATATTTCAAAATGAGAAGCAGTTTTTAATAAATTACTTGAATTGTCATGTATGTAAGAAATGTATGTTTGGGTAGATTGGAAGGTGACGTGCAGTCTCTGAAGAGTCCCTGTGGCCTACGTGGGTCTCTCAGCTGAAGGCCTTTGGTGCAGCTCTCCTGTGCTGTCAGGGGTGCCAGTGCTGGTGTTGGGCTGGGGAATTCACCAGGGCTACAGTACACGGGGTCACACAGGACTTAGGGGTGGTTTGGTTTTTTCCAGGTGTCTTGAGAAAGTCTTTTTTTTCCTTAAGGTGAATATTTTTTTATTTAGAACACATACTGTGAACTGTGTTCAGACAGGGGAACAATACTACTGAAGAATATGAGACCTTGTTGAAGCAAACAGTTGAGATACACTTTAACTGAACCTCTGCCGTGAATTTTATCATCTCAATTGCATTTAATATATCCTGGTGATGTTCTTGTATGACAGAGATGAGCTGTATTTCACCCTGCAGCTGGCATTCATGTACAATGCACACTGAGCTAGACATTTTTTAAGTGGCTTTAATATCTTATTTTTAAAACTCCTTGAAGATTCTGCTTTTGGTTAAACGAGCTCTGTCAAGTACTCCTTATTTTAATCTCTATTTCTGGGAAGGTTCTTCTGTAGTTTAAAAATCTGCATCTTCTGGCTGGTGCCAGCTCTAATTACCCTTTTCCCCATGAGCTTCATGGGTCTGTGTGGTTTCCAGTCCCCATCACTCCATGTTGCACCTTCACAAGCTAAGGTTTCTTTCACAGCACCACCGAGCTGAGAAAGGTCTAGCAGCAAAGAGGGGAGGAGAAGCTGAAGCTCCCTCTTGCTTCCCACCCAGCAGGGGAAAGTGAGACCATTTTGGGGGGTGAGCTCACACACATCCTGGGCTTTCTCAGTCAGGGGGAGGCTGTTTCAGACCCAGGGGTCTCAATCAAAGGCAGGGCAGGCCCAGTTTTGTCCCAGGAAGCGTTTGGCATAGCCTCATCTCCAAGGAGTGGATGTCAGGGCCCTGCCTGGAGTTGTTGGGTTGCTGCTCCTGGGGCAGGAGCACACACACTGCCTTGGAGCAGGAAGCTCTGCTGCACTCCCTGCAAAGCCAAAGGAAATAATTATCCATTGTAAACGAGCTGAAGTATTTGTAGTCTTGCCAGCAGAATTGACTTGGGGGAGCCCCTGCCAAAGGATCTCAGCTTGGGAAACCACCACGCTGGCTTCCAGCAGGGAGGGCTCCTGAGGCCTTACATAGTCATGCTTTCCCTTGGACCGGGGAGTTCTCTGTCTGGCCCTGGCACTTCTCAGGGTGCAGCAGGCAGGGATTTTGCTCTGCGTGTGTCCCTCAGCTTATCTTCTGATAGAGAAATGACTTGAGGTCTGGTCATGATTAAGAGGTGAAGTAGTAAGATTTTGTGTGTTTATTGCAGAAGCTGTGGGGAGAGGGAGTTGAAGGGGCTTTGTTTTATTCCTGGTGAGAACAAGCATCCTTTTTTTGTTTGTCAGTGTTGCTGTTTAGTCAAGCTCATCCCGTGTGCTCCATCTCTTCGGGCCTTTGCTGCAGTAGGCTGGAGGTTTAGTGTCTCACTCTGTGTTGCTCTGTGCTGTAAACCCCTTCAACACGCCCTGCTGCAGTCCTGGTGACGTGAGACTCTGCTAGTGCTGATTCTGGAGCACTGCACTGAGTAAGCTGCAGTTATAGAAATACTTCATGGGAGAGCAGAGAGGCTCAGACCTGAGCCACTGGGGAGGGCGCAGCCTGGAAATGGCGATTGCAAGAGTCCAGTTGGCTCCACGCCATTCAGGGATGGCAATTTCAGACTCCAGAAGCAATAATTTCTTAGGAATGTTTCTCTTCCTGCTGGTTAGATGACTTTCATAGAGATTTATTACCTAAATAGCCCTTTAATAACATGATTCTGGTCGTTTGCTAGCGCTAGCAGTAAGCAGTTGTGGAAGGATGTGGGTTGTTCATCATCAGGAGGGAGGAAGCCAGTAAATCCAGCAGAGGCTGGGGCTCCTTCCAGCGCCAGTAAATCCAGCAGAGGCTGGTGCTCCTTCCAGCACACAACGTCCCTTTTCCCCTTTCCCTTCTCTGGACTATGAAATATTCCCAGCGTGGTGGGCTGAAAAAGGAGGCAGCTGAAAGTCCAGCGTCCTGGTTTTCCTGCCAGTGCCGCTGCTGGCACGAGGATCCCGTGGTGAAAGGGCTTGAGTGAGGTTCTGCTGCCTGATCTCAGTGCCCCCAAACCTGGGAAGGACAGGGACAGGGGCAGTGATTGCTGCCAGGTGCCTCACTGGAACCTCGTGAGAAACTCGCCCACCCCCCTCGGGCTGTGGGGAGCTCGGCCTCCCCCCGACACCCACCGTGGCTCCCCCTGGAGTCTTCAGCCACGTGGGCTGAGGCACAGGAGTAAAGGTGGAGAGGGTCTCCGTTTGTTCCTGGCAGAGCTGCCCCCGCACACGGGCAGGGTGAGTTCAGGGGTGTCCCTCCCAGAGGCAGGTCAGGGGGTCAGGGTTTGGTGGCCACGCAGCGTTTTTGGCCGTTGTGTGTGGACACGTGGCTGGTTGTGCAGCACTGCTGGCCCTGTGGCCGGGGGCGGACACGCGCAGCGTTTTTGGCCGTTGTGTGTGGACACGTGGTTGGTTGTGCAGCACTGCTGGCCCTGTGGCTGCTGCAGCCCAGGCACTGGGAGCTGGGGTGTCAGGGCTGTACAGCCCTTGGTGTGCACCCTGCCCGGGCCAGGAGATCCTGGGCGGCTGTGTGCTCGTCCTCACTGTACTCAGCAGTGTTTTCAGCTGAGTTCTTCCAGGTCTGCCTCGTCCTAATCCCATGCGAGATGAGCTCAGCTATAAATGTGTATCCTGTTTAAATAAGTAAACTCCTGCATGATATTCCAAGCACATGTAGCAGCTTCGGCATCTGAAGTATCTATTGTGAAAGAGAAGTTGGTTTTATTTGCAGCCGTTTCGTCCTCTTTTCTTTTTTGATAGGCCAAATAAATGTAACGAACACCAAATGTTGCACAGAAACGTTATTAATGACTGTGTAGGAGAAATAACCAAATTTTATTTTTCTTTGCAGAAACTTTATGGTTATGGAAAGTTCTCTAGCTGTTATTCTTCCTTAAATGACAAAAGCTGAATGTTTGTAAAGCGCGTTGAAAATGGTCATTTTTTAAAAAAGTGGAGCTACCCAAAGTTTTCTGTTTCTCATGTTGCATCCCGAAGCAGCCACTGGCAGAGACGAGCTGCAGAAGCTCAAATATCAGCTGGTGTTTTGATTTCAGGGCCCAGGCAGTGAGGAAATGGGGGTTGATCATACCACAGAAGAGGCTCAGCTGCCTTTGCACGCTGTGGCGCTGACATCTGCCGAG